AGACCAGTTCGAGTCTTTCTCTCTGTGACCTTAGTGACCTGCAATTATGACAGAAGAAGGTTTCTAATTTTGGAACATTTCCTCTTTTTTTCTTTCTTCTGGTAAAGAAGGTGACAAAGTTTCCCTTGTAGTAAGGTGCATTTACCTGGAGTATCCTGGATACGATGACTGTCCCAGTGTGGACAATATTCAGGATATGAGGCTAATATGGAACTCTATAGTTGTAATGATAAACAGGATAACGTCAATTGTTGCTGACAGAGGTTGCATCAGACTTTACAAAGCAGGCCGGAGTCCAAAGGAGATTTTCATCCATTTTTTAAATACAGTAGAAGTCTGTTTAAACTGTCAACAGAGCCTGAGGTGTAAAAGACAAGCAGTTAATCTGTAAGTGACAAAAACAAGCTGGCCTTATTAGATGGGTCAGGGATCTGTTTCTCCTCTTCATCTTTTCCTCCCCCCACTGTTTTGGTCCGCAGCCCTTAACCACCACCCTGCCAACCCCCAAAAATCCTTAGAGGCAGCTAAAAAAAGAGTACAATTATGCTCTTATTTTAGCTTATCTGAAAGGATCCTCAGGGTCCACCAGCAGCAATTTACAGGTTTTAGCTATCAGGAGAAACTGTCTTTCCAAAATGTCAGCAAACACCCTCACTTTAATTACATGACATCATCAGTAATATATGTGGGGGCTTTTACGAACCCCCAAGGGTTTAAATTAAGAAGTAAAAATGGCACAGCATGATGATGTCTTTCAAAGCATTAAAATTCCATAATGAATGAGTTCTGGTTTTAAGATGACTATCGAAAAATTCTGCTAGGGGCTACTGTTCATGCAACAATAACAACTTTTGTCCCAAAATGTTTTTAAAAATAAGAAAAACCACCATTATTAGAAAGATCACAGTCATGACGTGGATGTTTTCATTTCACTCACTCGGAATAACTAGATATGTGGCGTGTCTGAATTTCAAATTTAGCAGAGTAATCATACAACGTGAGGCGATGTTGTGAAAAAGGATTTTACTTCCAAAAGAGGAAAATTTAAATGACTCTTTGGCATCTGGGAACTTGAATGTTTCAAAGCTTTTGAAGGTTCTATTAAAGATGCATCTCAGACCATATAGCTTCTGTTAGATTACCAAAACAAAGGACACACTGGAGATTTGTTTGTTTGTTTTATTCCGCTTTATACACTGACAAATTGTTGTGCAGCAGATTCTTGGTTCATTACTTCAATTTCTACATCACTGAAAAGGTCAAGGTTGTTTCTGTATGAGACCTGTAAGATGACACAAGTTCCTTTTTTAATGCATTTTAGACACTGAGGCCATTCAAATGTCATTTACTATTTCATTAGTTACCTTGCCCCATAGGTCAGTATTTCATTAGTGACCTCTGACAGAACTCTTAATGGCAACTGAAATTACTTCATTTAGGTGTCATGTCATGTTTAATCTAAAAACTCTTTTTGCATGTCAGCCTTTATCATGGAATTGACAGAAATCCATAGATAAAGTGGGTTTTTTTAGTGCTGTCCCCACCGAGAGGAACAATTGGCTGCCAACAGCCAAATTCCAATCGGTCCCCTACACCCCCCTCCCCCCCTCCCCGATGAACCTTACTCCATGGGGAGTCATGCTTGCAGCAGCAGGGTTTCTAAGCAAAGCGGTATGGTAGATATGAGACATCCTAGCCCTTCTCCAACTCTAACATGAGGGTTTCACTTCAATGGAGAAAATGGAAACTGAAAAATCTACCTATTCTGTTTCCATTTCATTCAAGTGCTTATCTTATGATTACATTTCCTTAATATTTCACAGCTTTGTAATAACAGATGGATTTGTTAATATCAAAGGCTTTTAATGTGGATGGATTATTATTATGGAGGTTATTGGCATGTTGGTGTCCTGCAAATAGATCTTTGTGGTCTTCTAATGCATAAACTTTGCAGCTCAGACAAAGATACTATCCCTGGACCGCCTTAAGCCAGACTGCCTAAAAAGCAAAGAAAATGACTACCAGACTGAATAAGAGGAAGCAATATGCTGTGTAATCTTCATGCAATGACAATGAAATTTCAGTATAACTTGTTTCATCAATCACCTGTTTTGTAAGAAAAAAGTCTGGCAAGATCTGTGCTCTTTACAGTGTTTAGATCGATAATATTTTGGTGTAGTTTCACTATTACCTGCAACCATGTTCTGTTCAATTCTTTTTCAGATCTCTAACACTCTGGAAAAAAATGTGACCCACCCTGTTCTAACCTGTTAATGAACACATAGAAAAATCTGCAGATGCCTTAGACTGTTACACATTTTTGCAGTTGCTGCTATGATTGCATTCATAGGATCCCTTTGTGTCCTAGATTAAGCCATTTTGCAGGTCTGGCTGTATTTGCTCATTTAAGTCAGAAAAATTGTTGTTTTTTTGTTTGTTTGTTTGTTTTTTCGGGGGGGAGGGGGGTATTTTATTGAAAGTTCTAAGCAGGAACCAGCCCTCCAGCTCACACTTTGAAAACCACCAGCGTCAGTGTGCACAGCTTCTATGTGAATGAGCTTTGCTGTCTAATTAAAGCAGCAGCAGCCTGTCTGTCTGCGCAGATACATGCTGCCGGATGAAGATTCCTAATAAGGAGGAGATCGTAGCGGAGAACACACACAGTGTTAATCCCATTGCCTGGTTCCTTCTCTCACACCCCTCAGGCTTTGGCTGTGTGTGTGTGTCCTAATAGCTTTCTTATGCCATCCAGTTCACTGGCCGGTCAGTTGGTTTGTCAGTCAGTAAGTCAGTTGATAAACCTTTTACCTCATCACTCAGCAATCTAATTTCTACCTAACATAAAACTGTAATTTAGCCACTGGTGACTTTAGAGAAAAGTCCTCTGATTTATTTACAGCACTTTTCAGAAGTATAACTATCTTCTATGACTAGAAAGTGTAGGAGTTTAACAGAAGTGAAAGCAAACACATCACATGCTGAGAGGTTTTGTGAAGCAAACCTCAAACTACTCTGATTTTAGCAACATTTTGCAGTTTGTAAATGTGTTAAAGTGTTGTTTTAACTTCACTCATAACTAATAGCAAATGATCATCTGATCTCAGCTGAGTTTAACAAAGGTTTCATGTTGTGGTGCAGATGTTTGAGGGAGGATTCGTGTGAAAGCATCTGGAAATCCCAGAATTAAGAAATTAGTCAGAAAACGAAGAATCCAGTCATTCGGTCAAGATGTTCAACATACTCAGGTGAAACTGGGCCAACCACCAGTCAGTTTGCCAGTTGGCCTGTAGGTGGCACATTAATCCACTTATTTAGCCTGCTCCCTGCTCTTTGTGTGAATGTTCACTGCTGCTGTACCAAAATGTTCTTTCTGCTGCTTGTGATCTCTATCTGTAAC